TCTTTATGATTTTTTTGTTATCCAAAGAACAACTTTGTAAAGTCTTGTGGCCCCAAAGTCAAAGGTTGCAGACTCCTGCTGTAACAAAACATATTAGGACAAAATCATAAAACTCACATCTGCAGTTAGAGGAACCTCCAGGGCAGCGGTGTATGTAAAGGGGCTGGGAGCTAAGTCCGACGGCAGCGTCCATGACTCCGGCACAGAATACGCTGATTCTACTGTTACCTTCATGAAGGTGCAGGCTGAGAGTTCAGCTTCAGACAGCAGAGGCTCCAACACGCTGACACAAACATCCAGGGATGGCTAGATGAAAATAAAAGATGCAGCAAATTAATACTAAACTGGATTTTTTTGCCACTTTTTCACAGCCATGCTTAAAAGGTTAAATAAACATTTCATTTGTTTTCTAAGATTGGAAGTTGCTTTAAAACATTGTTATTTATCAAACCCCTTAAGACAAATACTGTGAATTAAATTTCCAACTGTACTATTTGACCTTTTAAAACCAAGCGCATCATATTTGACACAGTGATTAGTGCGTCAAATGCTTGCACATTTGACGCACTTGCAAACGCAATTGCAGTTTCTGACAAATTAAAAACATAATGATAGCGTTCATTATGTTTTTCATTTGTCAGAAACTGCAATTAAAACTAATTTGAAAAAACTAGAATTTTCTGAGAATTATTTCACTGTCCAGGCCTTAAGGTGTTAAATTCAAAAGAAAATTCCAATCATTTATTTTGCTAAGAATGTAGGTCTTAATGCTTCAGGATATGTGGTACATAAATAAATTTTGTCTGACATGATGCCTGTTTAATGATCTCTTGATATAACAAATGGAAACGCTGCATCGACACAACAAAGTCTATTCTTCCGCAACTGATTAAGCTTCAAACAGAACCTCAATCTCTGCCTCCACCATTAATATTTTTTATCAGTGAGTCAGCAACTAACCTTTTGGTTGGACCACAGCTGAGATTCTGTGATCCCAGGACTGATCACTGGGTTTACTGGGATTGTGCATGAAATGTCGCGCTGACCTGTGGGACAACAGAGAATCATTCTGGCAGTGAAAGTCCTCATTTCTCAAGAACAGTTAACAGTTTTCCTTTAACCTTAGAATGGATCCTCTCTTCTGCCTAAACACAAGAATCTTTAAAAAATTAGAGGAAAAGCTGTACCTTGCAGGAGGGGGAACAGGTCGACCACAGCTTGGCCCAGGACAACTGATTTCACCTTAGCTTTTTTTCCCACATGAAGGACCTCACTGACCTCACTGACCATCACTGTAACTAATGACAAAAGGATTGGTCACTACAATTATCTCTACTACACTTGACTTAAATGTGAG